TGTTCTGCGTTTGGCAAAAAATTAATTCGGTGGCGTTATCGCGCGGTAAATCTCCACGTAACTACAACTGCGTGTGTCCGAGTAAACGCGAGTCTGTTCGTCGTGTTTTCTACACACACACGCCATTATAAAACTAAAAACGGCCGTCGCCTAGGTGTGTATGTAAATGTATGTGCAATTAGGAATGCGAAAAAAATATTGACAATATCGAAATGTCGATATTTTGTGAAAAAATATTGATAGTTTTACATCGATATTTAAATGTCGATATTTTTGTTCTGATATTAGTGTTATTTGATCAGATGGTGAGAGGGTTAGATCCAGAAATTTTCTTTGGGGAGGGACATTACTACGGTAAAAAAAAAATGAGGTAGTAAAAAGCACTGAAAGAGCAGAAAAAAACCCATTTTGATTCAGTTACAATAATATTATTCAAAAAAATTGTCTCAATTAAATATCGATATTGATATATTATATCGTTATTTTTGGAGGAATATTATCAATATATCGATATTGAAAATATTTATATATCGAAATAGCGATATATCGATTTTGACATCGGTTTTAGCATCACTGTGTGCAATATCGTATAATATCATCAGGTAACATGGGCAGGGCGCACGACGTACAAGTCACATATGAAGAATTAGTTTCCCCTCCCCTATCCGAATTGAAACCATTAGTATTTAACATAATATTGTACAAATTTTAGAAAAGACGTAGTCCCTCAAAAAATTGTTGCTATACCCTACGCATTTCACCTTTTCAAACTATATAGATACGTAATTTTGAGTCAGACAATCGATATAATCTTATTATTGTATTATACCTGTCTTATATTCTTGCCGACCCGTTCGTGAAAACCAGACGTGTCCGTATGATATACCATCTATATAATTATTTTATTATTATTATTATTCTTACCAACCACTCGCCTTGCCACGTCACATTACCGACACGGCCCGTGTCCCCGACCTTCGTCGCACCTATTTCTACCCCCCGAAACACTGTCCGACGATTGGCGGCAATGAATGCGGCGCAATTTTCGACCGCCCGGTTATAAAACACGATATTATATATTATTATCGCAGGCGTTGCATACGTTATCATCGTCGTGTAACGACCCACTGCAGCAGGCGATCACCCGCTGCACGTGCATTCCAGTACCCGTCGAACAGAGATTTGTATTTTTTTTTTCCGCCCCGTCTAAAGAAAAGCCGCACACATACGCATTTCATTTCGACTCGGATTATATACATAATTTACAATATATAATATATAATACCTATGTATACCTATTTTTTTTTTTTTTTTTTTTTGTTCGTATTATGCGTATTATTTACGCGTATCGTGGGTGTAAAATAGTGTATGAATAATATAATACACGAGTGTATAGGTTAAATGCCTATATACAACCCATTGACGTTTTACGGGTTACGCGTTTCGTGCAGCTCAGACCAAACGCGGACCGCTCGACGCTCGGTCGGTGGTGGTATATAGTATGAGATTTTTGTTCTTTTCGAAAAACGTACACTTATACTTATATATATATACGTACGTATACATTACATTATATTATATCGTATTATGTCTCGCGCGTCCCGCGGCGAATCCGCCCCGTCATCTCCGCGCCGCACGTTGCACAGTGCACATATATTACATTCAGCACGCCGGTACGCACACACACGTGGTTTATTATATTTTTCGCACTCGTATCCTCCACGCGCACATTGTACACACACACACACACACATATATATATATAATGAGGATAATAATAAAAATAATACATTATTACAATATCGTATATGTGTGCACCATATATAAACGCAAACTTTGCGGGGCGCCGCCAGACGCGATGCGCTCGGATTCGATCTGCAGCCCGCCGCCGCCTCCACGTGTCCCGACGCCCCCGCGTTCTCAACGACTATATACTACCCTTTGTCTCCCACACATACACACACACACACACACGCACACATCCGACACCCCTCGACCGTTGCAACCGCGCACCCTCGCCCGGCGCTCGGCAGCTTCACGTCGCCGCCACCGCTACCGCCGTCTGCAAGGGATGTCTGGACGTGACGTCATCGCCAGACGGATCAATACGCAACCCCGGGGGTTCGATTTCGATCATCATCACATTATTATTATTATTATTATTATTATTATTAATTATCCGTTGGCTGGCATACGTATTTAGGAAAGTAATTGTAATAATTTTCAATTTATTGTATCGTACACGGGGCGCGTGACAAATTTTTTGCAGCGTTTCTCATCAGACGTCCACTTGCACATGCGACGCGTGTTAAGTACCTGACTGACGTACGTGTCGTATTCGTTTACTCGATCGAGAAATGGTTTTCTTCCGATTCTAGTGCGATGCTCGTGGTTCGCTCGTTGCTGCGAATTTACTATAATCCAACCTCCCCCCCACTCAACACCAACTCGTCAACCGAGACGCTCTGCAGGTTTGCACCCCCCAAAATGAGGTGGCCCGGATGACGACGTCGGTGAGCATTTAAAGCCTATCGAACGCTACCGCCTCCACTTCCGTTCGCATGTCGGCCTTCGCGGTTGACTTTTCGTCTCGTAATATTATTTCTACTTTGGTACAATTAATAATTTTTTTTCTGCTTAATGTTTTTTTGCATTTCGCACAATTTATTTTTATAAACGCCCGCGCGTGCGCGCGTGTGAGTGTGCAATGTACTTGTATAATATAGTTTTATTAATATGCGACATGTATTGCAATGCGTGCCACCCTCCAAACCACGCCCCTTATCGATTATATCCCTCGACGCGCCGCCAAGCCAATTTTTCTCTCTTTAGTCGAGTTTGTGGTGATACCGCCGCCGCAACCACGCTTTACACGACGACGGAGTATTTCGCCGAAATCGATTTTCTCGCTCAGACCGCCGCCGCCACAGTATTTGACCTGTTTTCGATAAAATGTTGATGATACGCGAATATATGCATAATCATATCTATAACCTATACCTATGACAATATCATAGTGTATTGTTTTGAAAATATTTTCTAATGCACAATATTATAATATTATATAAAGGCTCTCCGACCCTTATGATGTTGTTTTAGTCCGTAGCGCTAAGAACGTTGTCGCATTTACAAACATTTGCTAATTACCGTAAAAAGGACAAGTTTTTCAGTTATTAGTTTACATATTTGTTTTTATATTTTGATAGTGTGCTTTATCGTTATAATTTAAAAATTACGCTTAATAATGAATAACAGTAAATAATTAAAAAAAAAAAAAAAGATTTCGTTTTGAAAATGTCCAACCCATTTTATTGTGTTATCGTGACGATGTAATAACTCAATCTGTTGTTCTGCGCTGTAAATTATTTGATTTTTTTTCTCAAATAATTGTAACCATGGTGTATTCTCAACCTATCACATATCGGCATAAATCCAGTCCTTTATCGTATTGGTTTCACCATTACATTTTTATTTGATATTCATTCTTTGTGTATAGACTTGCTCGAATATTTATATTTTTATTTTTATTTTTTTATTACATTATTGTTATATTTTGCGTCGTATTTTCTATGAATGGAGGAGGGTGCTTTGTGCTCACAACGATCGATTTAAACGCTCTTGTTGTAATAAATATACATACCTCAGATAAGATTATATCTACGTTTATATATTATATTTCTATTTTTTTATAGTGTGTAATATATGTACTAATAAATGCACGTTTCTTTGAACGTTTGCCTGAAAAAGTTTTCAGAATAGGAAAAATCGATATAAACAATACACATAATAATAATGCACAGGATTTTTTAATGAAGATTTTAATATTATATAGAAATTTAATTCCATTGACCCCTTTTTTGTTTTTTGCCGCAATCCTGTACGTTTTAAAGTATCGAAAACGTTGAGATCGGTACGTTTGAAAAGCCCGTCTCACCATCTTCATCATCGTTTTTGTTATATAATAGTACTTCTATAATAATGGTCCATTAACACGATTCGATTCCGGCCTGACTAATTGCGCACGTGACGTGTTTCGTGGTCACAGTTACACGGCAGAAGAAATTTTACAACAAGCAATGAATGCGTATTTCGCTTCTAATAAAATTACACGAATATAATAAAATAATTGATCATAAAAAATAGGTATCGTGTCTAATTAATCATCACCTTTGGTTCCATCTACTCTTCCTCTCGCGACCGCGGTACGTGTAGGCAAAGCAACAGTAACAACAAAAAAATATTTCTGAATAGGCTTCGGGATTTTGTGAATATTGAGTTTCTCCGTCTCATCCATGAGAAATCTGTCAAATTTATATTATTTATATTATTATTATCACCGAAATCGAAGTATAAGCCGTGATTTCAATTCGAAAAAAAATTAAATTATTTAATATGTAGCAGGTACTCATTCGTAATCGCGGCTTGCAGCTCGTACGTTGCGCCACACACGTATTTGCCGAATCGATGTAATTCGAAATTGCAATTCATCTGCCAATGTGCGCGTGACAAATTGCACAGGTGCGACAAAAGCCGTAGTCTCTAGTAGAAATCCACGGATGGGTATGGGTGCAAACACGAAAATAACAAATTTAATTTAAAACACGGTTCGAAAAGATATTGAAAATCCTATTTTTGAACATTTAAAAGAACCTAATAGATTTATTGTGAAAATATTTTCAATTTTCAATTAAAAACCGTCATAAACATTAGTCTTTGAGATGTTAGCGGACAGAGATACGTTTTGTAACGGCGTTACTCGTGAATTGGTACTTAATGTAACGACGTGAGTTAACGAATATTATGGTATCAGTTGCAAAATCATTATCTATAATCGATGGGTTGTGAGGATCGATGTATTAATCGCCAAAAAGTCGTTTCTAAACGCTGCAGTTCATAACATCTTATTAAAATTTTAATCGGGAGACATATGTAAAATAAAAATAACTTATATCCGATGCCTGCGTGATAATTAATCGGTATTTTTTTCTTTTTTCTTTCAGTTGATGGAACTTGTGCCCGTTTCATGTACGGTTCGCCCGTCCAGGGCCGAGACGCCGCCGCCGTCGTTGAAGAGGACAAAGCTCGAGGACACGCCGCCCGCGTTGCCCACGGCGGCTTACTACTCGGCGCTGAGCATGGCACCCACGTTGCCTAATTACATGGTGGACCCATTTCACTATTTCTACGGTGCGTGGGTTCCGCCGCCCGCTGCCATGTACATGAACAACTCGCATCATCTGTACAGAAACGACAGGTTAGATACATTGCCGCGCTTTTGCGTCGATTTCCAGACGGGCATTTTTTTTCTTCTTCGTTTCACTAATTTCAAATGTTTCTTTTACCGTAACGCAGTTTGATCAAGAGGGAGAGACCGCCGAGGCTAGTGGATCCGCAAAAAGTCATATCTCACACGCAGTCCGAACAGTTCGGCAGGAGTTTTCAACCGAACGTTGCGTTGGCGCCTCCCACCAAACACAACGGCAATGCTAACGCTAGCAATATCCTGGGCCATCACCACAACCTTCACTATCAAAACTCTAACAATGTCAACAACAACAACAATAATAATAATAACAGCAGTAATAACAACAACAACACCGCCAAACCGACGGTGAGTAACGTCATTACGCCGCGTGTGTAGGCAGCACATTGTACACGCAAGTCCTCCAATAGTGTTATTCGTGTTATCGTAATGTTATTATAAATAAATATTTGGATGATCTTTCAGGTAAAATTTAAAGACAAAGAGGACGATGAACAGGAAAATAAAGATATTATCCCTACTCAAGAGTCCGAGAGGAGATACAACAGTGTTGGTGAGTAATAAATTTACCCGTCGAGCTATCGAGTAGACGTGTTTTGTCTAAACAGATTTTCTTATACGAATATAATATAAAATAGTATCAGTGATTTATTATAATTGTCGATTGTCGATTTTACAGCCGCCAGTGTTATGGAGCAAGTGGCCGCTGTTTTGGATGCCTTAAGCGATGCTAAGGAGACGACGCGACAGCAAGTGATCGGATTGGTCGAGCGGATTGCCCTGCGGCTTGAAAAAGTCGAATCAAAAAATCAGCAACTCATCCGAGAGAACGAAATACTTAAAAACCAATTGAACACGGTGCGTGAATGTCATAAATCAGAACTGATAGACGTTAATCGGTCAAATTAAACGTATTATTATACTATTAAATTAGCGCCACTTTATGTTTAAAAATTGTTTGATAATATTTTTTTTTGTTTGCTAACAGAAGAGGCATACGAACAAAGAAGATCCGTTCTTAGTAGAAGACTGTATGATGATTAAATGGGAAAACAGCGGTGGTATTGACCAAGAACACAGTAAATCCAATAGTTTGCCATTAATGAACAAGAGGTGTAGTCCAGTGTCCGTGATAACCTCACCATCATGTCTGCCCAAAACACCTCCACCCCATAATCTACAGTCCAACATCATGGCCGCTACCACTGCTACCATTACAGCCACATCAGTGTTGATCAAATCGGAATCCATCGACTGATTATTATAATTGCAGCTTGCTGTTTACTTATTATTATTAATTATTATTATTTAATTTAATATTGCTACCACCGACAATTGATCTCTCCTTAAAAAAAATAAAAATAAAAATAAAAGTAAATAATAATATTTATAAATTATACAAGCTTTTTATAATATTTATTCAGTACTACAAGTATAATATATGTGTATAAATATTAAATATGCATAAAGTAATAGTAATATAGTTATTATTATTATTATTTTATGTCTAACAATAACAATATGTTGTTGAATTTTCTTGTCTTATGTAAATAACCTAATTTAAAATATTGTTTATTTGATTTTCTTAATTTCCTGACAATTTATTCTGAATTTATATATATGTATGTATAATTTAATTTTCTTTTTTTTGTTATGAATTTTTAGTTTAGGATTATTTTTATTTATTTATTTGAATTTTTTTGTTATTTGTTTTAAATTATTTATGTTAAAAGTTGCTGTGCCAATTTTTGTTTGTTTTTTTTTTCAATAATTATTAGAGGATAAAATAGGAATGGTACACTAAAAAAATAATAGAGCATGGTTATGAAAGAGCTCAATTTAATACTTGATTTTTCAATATTTGTAGGGCGTTATTAGTTGGCCTGTTAAATTTTAAAACATATTTTCTTTTAAGTATGAGTAGAAACTTTGGCGACCGGTTAACACAGTATATTGTCTCAGCAACTGTTTTGGAATTTTTTTTGTTAGATGCTGAGATTTCTTTTCATGCTTAAAATTGTGTAATCAATGGAATATTTTTATATTTATGTGTACTTTTTCAATACATATAACTAAATAGTAAATGGACGAATTTGTATACATCGTTTCAATATTAATACGCATAAAATAATAAAAAATACCTAAATTTGGGAAAAGTTAGTATTTTTAATTTTTTTCCATAGTATCTAATTATTATTTATTTGCATACATATTACATATAATATCGCACGAAATATTAATAATATTAAAAATAATAATGAAAAAAAGCAATCACGTATAATATTTATACATTTCCTAATACTTTAATATACACATAAAGGTAGATAAACTTTAATGATTGTAAGATGACAACATATAATAAATATTATATTTTAAAATATGTGTATATATATATATATATTATATAAAAAAAAGTTATAATTATGATTATAGTTTTGAAGAACAATATACCCTTTTCCCTCGGACTAGAGAAAAATTCAGTACAAATTAGTAAGTGCCTTAATTCTGCAATACTATACACTAACCTTACTTAAAAAAAAAAAAAAAAAATGAATAATAATAAGCATAAATAATATTTTATAGATTATATATGTTTTGCATGCACAATAATAATTATGGGATTTTATAATTTTATTAGGCTTATAAAAAAAAAGAGAAAAAGAATGTTATTTTAGAAAACATGGTAGATTGATTTATTATTAAGTGAGTTTTTGTTGTTAATGTTGGCGTGCGTTATTGTATCATCCAACAATTTTTTTCATTACGTTTTATGTATTTCAAGTATGCAAATTAATAATAAGAATATTAGTACCTAATAGCAATGTGTATCAAATATAATATACATATTGAAAAATATGTAAATCTATTAAATTTAACTATACCTATTATTGTTTAATTAAAAATAATATAGTTTGTTACCACACAGTTTTAATATGTACCTGATGTGAAAGCCAGTAGGTAATTTATAATTTATAATTTATAAAGTATATACTATTATAATATATGTTATATAAATAAACTTAAAGATGTTTCATACGATTTCTGCAAATAATGGAATAATAATAAGGTCCCCCCTTTTTTATTTATTTAAGTAAATGTCGAGTCTTCCTTAAAAAAGAAAAGATAAAAAATAAGCAAATAACTCGAATTCTGTAATAAATTGAACATTTTCATGCTGTATTAGTTTGTTTTTTTTCTATCTTGTGCAATTTGACTAAATTATGTTGAAACACAATGATAATATATGGAAAATATATTTATTAGTTGTAATAGTTTGTTGAATATGTATATTTAATATAAATTAAAGGAGTAGAATAATATAACATATTATAATAGTATAACACATTTTTATTCAACTTGACTGGAAATCAAAAACAACCATTGTGTTCACATAAATTTTTCTCATTATTATTTAATGTTAATTGACAAAACTGTGTAATAATATTGATTTATGAAATTTTAATGTTCTTATGTATATTTTGTTGTTGATGTACAGACATTTTTTTTTTTTTTTTTGTAACTTTTAGAGTTTTTCTAACTCTGATATAAAATGAAATATTTAGCTGTTTCATTTTACTATCATTATTATTATTATTATTATTATTATTATTTTTTGTAATGATGTTAAGTTTTTTTAAGTAACTTATATTAGGTAGTTTTTTAACTGTGCCAAGCTTTTTTAGCACTTTTTAAGCAAAACCGAGTCATTAATTTTTTTTTTTTGTATATATTATACTGCCTGTACCAAATACATTGTATCATAATATACATGATTATATGGTGTATTGAAACGGGTTTTCTTTACATGTATTTTTTTTGTGTACTGTTATTAATTTAAAACAAAAAACAACCATTTTATTTATGAACATTTTTTTTGGAAAAAAAGAAAACCAGAAAAAAAGAATCAAAATAAAAGAATATTATATTAATAAATAAAAATTAGGATTGCGTTTTGTTTTTGTATGAGAATCTATTGCTTAGTATACAATTTAAATGTTTTAAATTTTTATAAACTATTTGCACCATTTGTCTAATTGCATAGGTACCTACATTTTTATGGCAATTGGCAAGATACTTATAGTATTCAAAGTATAATTTTATGAATTATCGTTAATGAAATCTTGAAAGTGGTGACCCGTGAACAATGGAGTTATAGAGAAAGATTCAGTTATAAAAAAAAAAAAAAAAAAATACAGTGGTCGGATTGCCTGGTTATAGTACCGAACAATAATTGACACTTGTAAATCTCTGTTTGCGTCAGTAGTGCAGTCAGTGCAGAATAGTTTTAATTTCATATCGACAACATTTGTAAAGTTTAACCACTGATTTAGGTAATAAGATGGAAACATAATGTGAAACATTGCCAAACAACTATTTTTTTATAAGTACCTAAGTAGCAAATGCTGATTATATTAATGAGGATTTTTCTTTTACTTTAGTTAAATTAACATAACTATTTTATATTGCGTTTGAACGGAAACCCCTAACGGCCCTAACATAATTTAAAGTATAGTTGTACACATAGGTAGGTGCTAGAAGAGGTTTCAACTTACGCGTATTGCCAATACCCATATAATTTGAACGAGTGCAGGTCTAGGAGTAAAGCGGGTAAAGTTAATAATATGTAAAAAGACATAACAAAACGATTTTTATAAAAGAAAAAAAGTGTTGGTGTCGATGCGACATAATAGTATATATACCTACCTATCCGGGAAAGAGAGAGTGAAAGAGAGTATGGATGTGTTTATACGTATATATATTGCAAACATATATCTCATATAAATATAAATTATGATGATTCTCAATGTTGGTTTGCGGTAGGTGAGAGGGGTGGACCGCGGCATTGTATGTGTTTATCTTGTCGATCGGTTGCAGCGATGGTCAAGGTGACCTTGCGTCAATGTCATCTCTTTCGTCTTCGTGCTCGTATACACACACAAATCCACAAACACGAACGCGATAAGGTTTGTTGTTAAATTATAGTGTGTGTGTCTGCAAGCTCGTCACGGTATTATTGTAATGTGTAATTGTGAGACAGATGAACGGACGTTACTGTGTGTGTTTGTTAGTGGGGGGGTCACACCCCCCTCGTATCGTCACCCAGTTCCGAGCAGCAGAGTGCCGATCGTCAGAGTTTGGTGGCGGAAACGTTGTTCGCGCGCTGCGTTATATTCAAATGATGTGGCATAACATTTAAATAATAATCAATAATAAATGATACTTGTATTACAATAACATAATACCTTCAATATGATATCTTCGTGTTGTATATATATATAATAAGTGTGTGTAGCTATTGCCTATATACATAGGTACTGTGCATTAGGTGTAGGCGTGTAGCACTGTTAGCAAACGCGTACCGTCGCTCGCAGATCGATTTTTTACTATGACCTAATGCGATCTTATTATCTTGCACTACAAATATGAGCTTTACATCACAGAAATGTACTCAAAAAGTCGTAATAATCATTCTAATTTTCGAACCAAACCCAATTTACAGTTTATTTGTAGTTAAATTTAATAATATTTTATTTATTATAATTATCTTGCTTAATAAATAGGTATACTAAACAGTATGTCTAGTAAAATAAAATTATGAGAAAGAAATAAAAATAGTAAAACTGATTAAGTAGGTAAATATTAATATCTTTTAAGATTTTATTTTTTTAAGTTCGGTTAGGTAAAATAAAGTGATAACTGTTGCCTGCTGATACAGTCGCTATTGAAGCCGATCTGCAGGTTGAAATAAGCTGGTGAACGTCAAAACAGTATGATAGCCTGTCGACCATCACTTGGGTACGGGTCGTTTCCAACTCAGGTATCGGGTAGAAACGCCATCGGTTAAATGCATGATCGAGCGTTTTTAAGCCAGAACTCTCTCAGATGATTTGAGTCTATACATGTTTATTATTATTTTTTATAGATTCTATATTGCTATTACAATGGCGTGTTTTTTTTTTTTTGTGGATGAGTACACAATAGGTTTACTAAAATAATGATCAACTCGACACTTTTTGTACAGCAGAATGGCATCGATTTATCTACCTTTGTTTTTAATATTGCAATTATTCAAAATCTGATGTTTGGAGTTTTGGAGTAAGGATTATTGATATGTGTGTATATGAAAAATGTTAGACAATATATTTGATAAAACTAGAAAGTATGTATATTTTTTACTTTTTAATTAATTTAAAAACAGTTCAAGTAAATTAAATTAGAAAATAAACTCATTAAAGTTTAATAATTTATAATATATACCTGTAAAATGGATTATAAGAATACGCGATAAAACAAATATTAAATTTACATGATTAGGTAATTTTTTATGCATAACCATTGCCAGGATGCACTCAGCTTAGTATCAAATTACTGTGTTTAGTATATAATACCTAATGATATAATTTATAAAATAATT